TCTCGGCTTATATTTAAATACTGGCTGTGATTTTACACTACCATCCTACAACACATCGAGCCTGGGAGACATTCTGAGAAATGAAACATTAGGAGATTTTGCCATTGTGTGAACACTGCCTTTAGTATGCTCATTGGAACTGAGACAGGATGGCCTAGAACACACCAAGGCTAGGAACATAGCCGTGCAACAGAGATAGCTCATCACTGATGGAAAGGTCACAATGTAGCCATGCCACTGAGATAGCCCATCACTGATGGAAAGGTCACAATGTGGTGCATTGCCATCTACAGTTTCAGAGAAGAGTTTCTCCTGTGATTTCCATTCACTACACAGCTGCAGTCATAGAAAATAATGCTTCCCACACTCAGGAAGACTGGATCTGTAACTACACATATTTTTAACTTTTGGAGACAGAGGCTTACTCTGTAATCAAAGTTGCCTTTGATGGAGCTCACAGCAATCCTCCTGCCTCAGCCTCCCAAGTGTTGGGATTATAGAGTGGTTTTCAAACTCACAGTTTTAAGTGTCACTGGCACAAATGAAAATATGCAAACTTCCAATATTTAGAAATGTATAACAAACAGTAATATTCAATAGTCAATGGAAACAAATACAATACACATGTATACATCCCTTTCTTAAAGAGCAAATAAACAGGCATAAAAACATAAAGTCACTTCAAAATTGTGACAATTAGGGCTTAAGACCTGAGTGAAAACTTTGGCCATCTGATTTATTTCATCATAAAGTGTTTTTTTAAAGCTAACTTTTTCTATTCTATAATATTTAAAATTATATTTACTATAGTATGAATATTTTCATCAAGATGGACAAAAATCAACTGGAAAATATCTTCTGCATTAAACAGACAATCTAGTTGTTTTTAACCTCATGTCTTGGAATCAAATATGAAGAGAAAACACTGTCATGCAGCAAATGCTTCCCGCCTTCCCATGGTGTGGTCAGCTGCTACAGATTAAAACCCACAGACTGGTGCAGCTCACAGGACAAATACATTTTACACACCACTAACACCTTGATGGTGAGTTTTCCTGTGCGGTACCCTCAACACTAATTACGATACTCTAAATACTAAAGTAACCAGAGTTAAATAGCTAACACTTGATAATCTACAAGTTCCTTTTTTTTTACTTAATGGAAAAATACTTACAAAATTCAAGTAAAAACTCATCTCTGCCCCCAAATTATATTTTTGAACATTTTATGAATTAGCAAATGTCTTTATTGCATTTTCCTTTGTTTGTGTACAGTAAGAAAAAATGGAAAAGAAACGGTAGAGTTGGGTATTATACCTCTGTTCAACACTGTGAACGGGAAATGAAAATTCCCCTTCAGTCTGCACTCTACAAATAGTTCGGAGCTTGAATACACTTCTACCTAATTCGACAAAATGCTGAAAAATCCCTGCCTTGTCATCAAGTTAGGAAGGTTAAAATGTCTAGCAGTGAGGTGACAGAGATATTACAGAGCCTGTAATCCCTTTAAAATTAAATCAGCACAAATATGACAAGCATGTATAATTCTTTATGCCTCTAAAGCTAAGGATACCCATCCCCCACCCACCCTGGACCAAGCAAGGGAAACTAGGCTGAATACAACAGCAGACGAAGAAGAAGAAAGACAGTCTCCTTACTACACATCTTTCCTGCCTCAGGCAAGACACATGTGACTACTTAAGTAGACCAGAGGAACTGGGTTGTACTCTGACCCTAAGTGCAAACACTCACAAAGATCTCTCCACTGAAGTGAAGGAATGTCACATCAAATTGGTTGTTTGAAAATCAACCTCACTTTTCTTTGAGCATGTGATGACCTGTAGTTGTGTTTCTCAAGACTCAACAACAATCATTTGACTAGTTTTTAAATAAGAATGAACAAAACAGTGGGTCATACATTATACCTCCAACTCCTATCTCAAGCAGATTTTTGTTTTTGTTTGCCTTTTTTAAAATTTGAGATCAGTGAATTTAAGTACAGCCTCCCCAGCAAAGCTCTCTTCAACATGTTTAATCTTCGTATCTGGAGGTGGGCTTTTCTCCTGTCTAGAAAATGAAAAAATGAAGTAATGAGAACGATGAAGAGGAAGACATCTCTAAGAGCTGAAGAGAGAGTCAAGTTAGACAAGATGGTAGATGATCTCAAGTCAGAACAGGGCGCACAGAACATGCTTGCAAAAGAGGGGAAGTTTCTCACTTGCCCTAAGTGGAGCTTTCTTGGGAAGAGATACAGCCTGATACATATTTGAAAAAAGAAACATTCTTTTGGAGGCAATGAATCACTTTAATAGTTTTTAAACAGATTCATTTGATTATGTCATCATTATTGTTCTAAAGAAATAGCCACTGTGGAAATGCTGAGAAGACAGTCAGTCTAGCACTATCCCAAGAATTTACCAGAGAAAAATCCTGGAACACCATGAACTCAGTGAGGCAGCACAAATATCCCTTCAACCTAGTATACTTGGAAAATAAGCTTATTTGACCAAAAGGAAGGAAAATTCAGCATTTTCTGAATTTTTCTTTCTTTTTGATCAATAAGCTTTATTTGAAATATTATTTAGATAAAGAAAATCAAAGGGTATTTATTCTTATGGCTTATCTATAAACATACTGAACTAGAAGTTTAAAGTGATTTGAAAAAGGAATCAAAACTCAACAACAATTAGAGGTGGTTTACAGCAATAATGGGATCATTGCTGTATCACCCAGAGAGATTCCCCCTCTGTGAGAATGGTGATGCCTCTGGCTCAGTGGATGTTGTTCCTTGTAGGTTTGTAAGGCGGCGAACTGATTCTGAGGATGCCCATTTCCGTCATCTTTGTCCTTAGCTTTTCAAAGGCAGTGTTTATTACTATGTATTTGCAGTTCACATCCTCTATATGGCAAAAATGTTGCACTGCTTTTTACAGACTTAGAAACAGATGATCAACAGCATTGGAAAGTGACACAATTAACTGAAGGGAAGCCAACTGCATATACACACTTGGATGGAATGTTTCTCCTTGTTTCTTATTTCCATAGTGTCTCTTCTTAATTCTTCCATCACTTGAGGTAGGAGTGTTCAGGAGAAGCATTACTCAGTTAGGCTAACCCAAGTTGCAACTGTTTCTAACACAGCAAAAACTCTAAAATTCTCCAACTTCAAATCCTTTCTGGATGCTTGCATCATTACATCTCAGTTTTATCTACAAACCCCAAAGGTCCTGATTCCCAACCTCCCAAATTTGCATAAAATGACAAGACCCATAATTCATATGATGCTAAAGAGAAAAATCTTGCATATGATGACCTGTCTAGTACTCCAACTATTGAGGGATTTCACTTCTCTGTTAAGAGTCTATCTTAGGGACAACAGTCCTGAAGATGAATTCCAGATCTTTCCCAGCAGATAAACAATGCTTTGCATACAATGTTCACAGGCTTTGAGTACGAAAGCTTTGAAAACTCAGCTCCAGAGTAACCAAAAAGTGGTGACTCGTGAACTTGAGAATAAATACAAAGGAAACAAAGTTTGGAGTCAAATCAGAGATATGTATTAAAACTATTTTAAAGGACCCTGTTTTATTTTAGACATAATAACACTTAAAATCTTTTTGGGGAGAGGGTTCTTGTGGATCTTCTTACACTCGCCATTCAAAACACACACACACACACACACACACACACACACACTGCTTTAAAAATCTGTTTCCTTAAATCTCTTCTTAGATTCTAGACTGCACACCTTGAATTTTCTCCATTTCTGATACGTGTATCTGCCAGCTTAGAAACTAGTTTCTCAAATGACTTGAAAGCGCCTTCAAAAGTCAAAGGGCATCTTTTTCATTTCAAATTCCTAGCTCTTTTATTCGGTTCAATCACTTATCATTTACCGAAGTTAATGATTGACAGCAAAAAACAAAAACCAATCTTGTGCCCGGTGTGGTTTCAACTCCTCTGAGCTATAAGTTTTGTTTTAAGAGGGCAGAAAAAGTGGGTGGCCATCAGAGCACCGCCCCATTGCTTCTGCCGCAGGCTCGGTGGTTTGCAGCAGCAGCAGTCTGACTTGCACGGAAAATTCAGCCTAGGAAATGTTTCTGCAACAGCAAAGGCAATCAGCCTCTCATTCCCCACCCCACACAGCTTCTCTGGCTTCCAAGGTCTGGGGTATAGAAACAAAGAGAAAACATTTTGGCTGAATAAAATCATTCTCCTTTAACTTTAATAAGTAAACGACATTTGGAATCTATGTTCTTATTTGCAGGAATGGGGATTCAGAGGTTAACCGAGTGCCTCCTCCTCGCCTTGAGCATACAACAAAACCCACTAAAATTACGACCTACTACTAAAAGGTTGCATTTACTTTAAAGGACAGAGCGTTCTTTCTTAAAATGACCACGTTTTAAAACATAGCAAGAACTCGGGGACAAATACTAATCCTCGGGAGACAGGTACACATGTGTCTTCATGACTGGCCTCAGTGGTCAAATGCTCGCAAGGGAAAGTGACCTAAACTGCAAAACATGATTGACAAGCACCGCCTTTCTTGGTAGCCTGATTGGTTCCCAGCACCACCGGTGAGCCATCACTTGCCAGTAAAGAACTCTGCCTGTCCCAAGCTAGTAAAAAAGGAAACTTTTCCAAATAAGCTAGTTCGGTCTCGCCGATCTAAATCCAACAGGTGTCAACACACGTCGCCACCGCCACACATCTTTCTGAATGTGGTCTAGAGCAGCATGGGGTGGTTAGCGAAGAAACCAAAAGAATCCGACCTCTAAGAGGATTGTGAAAAACAAAAACAAAACCAGCCTGGTCCCTAGCCCGGCTGATCCCTAGGCGATGGGGTCAAGGAGTGGAGATGGGGAAAATTTCTGCTCACTCCCCGGGATGCGCTTTGCCTCAGGGTCTCAGAGCACTGGCCCTGCGCTGTCCACCCAGCACCACTGTAAGGCAGAGGCGCCTGGGGCTGGGAGGCAGGGAAAAGAGGGTGCGAGGTACCTGCTTGTCCAGGGTGTCCCGGGCGCCTGCTGGTCCCGCGCTGGTCCTGGGTGGTGCGGAGGTCCGCTCGCAGCTGCAACCCTCCAGGAGGTACATGCCCGCCGGGCGGCCGCTCTGCTCTCCCTCGAAGTAAAAGAGCACATTCTGGTAGAGAGCGAACCACTTCTCGTGCCAGCGGCTCGCCTCGGCCGCCTTCTTGCTCAGGAAGCCACGCTTGGTGCCCTCCTTGCGCGCCAGGAAGGCCAGGTACAGGGCGTGCCCCTCGTTGTAGCGCACGCTTTTCTGCATGGCGAGGGCGCGCGGGGAGTGGAGGGGGGAGTTGGGGTCGCAGTCTCAGCCCCGCTGCGGGGCCATCACCGAGTGCTCTCCTGTACCCCGGCCCGCCGCCCAGACCTAGTGCGCCGATCCCGGCTGGGGCACGGTCTCCTCCCCGACCGCGCCCTCTCGGGCACCCGACGCCTCCCGATCTCCGGAAGCCCGGTACCGAGCGGCCCTCCGAGGGCGCCCGTACCCACGCCGCTCCACCCGAAGTTGCGGGAGCTGAGCCCCCAGCGGCGGGCTGCGCTGGGAGGCGCGCAGCAGCCGGAGGACTGTCCCCGGGCAATGCGCTCCGGGAGACAGAAGGTAAAACGTCACGTGGGAGATCAGCTGTAATCGGCTTGGAGACCGATTTAAAGGGTAAAGTCGGCGCGGTGGCGGCCGCGGAGGCGCTGCCTGCTCTCCCCAGCGCGCATCCTTCACTTGCCTGCCAGGACGCTGGCCTCCGCCTCTGCCCAGGCCAACCACCGATGGGGCAGATCGCCCGGGAGGGGCAGGAGCGTGGTGACACCCAGCTGCTCACGGCAGCAACGCGCACAAATATGCTCTCCCATACACGCCATACACGCAGACAAACGCACACTGAACACATGCATAGAGACTAGTATCCGAACACAAACACACAACGTTCATATTCATACACCAAAACACACATGCACACAAATGCAATGGGCTCCGCGCACAAGCGTGTGTGCACTCACAGCATAAATTAGCAAATGCCCTTTCACCCAACACTCACAATCATACACATAGGAGGACAACATACAATCACAAATAGCACACCACTATGCACACAGATACACGTTCACACCTACAAAAATATACCCACTGTATATACTACTCAAAAATGCAAATCTATGAGTTTGTACTTACACAGGCCGATATATATATGTATATATATATATATGTAACCTTGGTACTGTCTCAAACATGCTCATATTTACTGTACCAAATGTATATATACACTTATATATACATTCACAGAAACATAGACAAATGAACACCTATAATAAACACACACATCCGTCAGCCCTTTCAGTCACACACACACACACACATATACACACACACACACGAAGAATCATAAACATATGCAAGTACATGACATCCTAAACACACTCATCAGATACAAGCGCTTACAGACAGAAAAAGGACAGATACATAGGCACTTACATATACACATTTTTACAGCCTCCGTGCGTGCACTCACACTCACAAATAGGTTCGGTAGCAGCAGGTGGAGTCACATGGTGGCTTTGCATAAACCACAATGTTGGCTTCCCAGTTTGTTTCCGAACAAGCAGTGAACGTTGATAGGAAAAGTTGAGTGTTCCCAGAAAGCCAGCAGATGTGTCGATTCCTTTTGAACACCTGTTATTTCTTGGGATTAAGATAAAAGAAACTAAATGTTAAGTATGGAGTTTTAAATAGAGGGAGGAATAACACTATGAGGAAGACTTTGTTGGCAGAGGCAGAAACTGTCCCCAGAGGCCAAGCTGTCACAGGCTGAACAGAGTCCCTTGTAAAGACTGGAATTCATTTGATTAACAAACTTAACAGCTACTGCTGGAAAACCAAGATATTCTCTCCAAAAAAAAAAAAAATACAAGTGGAAAAGAAAAGATGTTCCAGAAGCTTCTCGAGAAAACTGGTAAACCCCACAGTGCCCTCTTGGATTCTGCCTCGCTTTCTTTTCACTCCTGTAGCCACATATTAAAACGAGTGCCCAAAAAGTATTGTGGAAAGCAACAGAATAGCAAAAGATTCCTTTCAGGGCGGTGAATTGGCAGCAACACACCTGTCTTTTACTGTGGTTATGTGCTCGCAAATTAATCTCCACAGGGTCCTGCCTGCTCTGAAAGGACTGTCTTTGCAGAATATGTTAACTCTGCCTCACCAAACAGCTGAGTGGTTTGCATTTTACTGTCAAGGAAAACTTCACTATTGAAGTACACGTAATGGGAAAATTGCCCTTTTGAAATGACTGTGGGGAAGAGTAGCCATCCTTTCACATACCTTGTATCTCAAGGGCAGCTCCCGTTGAGCTGGATGCAGCCCAGTGGAGAGCTTGCACTGTTATTTAGAGAAAAGCAGGTTGCAGTCCACATGGTTCTGGAAACGGGGAAGAGGGAGGTTCTCTCTGGTGCCTTTTCCTTTCCTTCTCCATGATCCAGCTCAGAGACGTGGAAGCCAAAGGATAACTGAGCAGTTGAAACACTCCAGCTTCAAGCAGAAGCCAGAATAGGTCCCACCAGAATAAAATACTCACTACAGTTCTGTCATGAGTATTCATACCTTCTAACCCCATGTCCCTCATGAGCATTCGTACCTCCTAACCCACTTGTTTCCCCTCAGATGTGAATGAAACTTTCTTTAGTAAGCACTGTCTCTGCCATCTAGCTGTTCTCAAGTGTCCCCTCTATCTATGGAAATGTCCTTATTTGAATCCCCTTGTCCGATCTCACTTTCTACTATGTGAAGTGCTGTAGACCTCATTTCCCCAGGACAGTAAAAGAAAAAGTTCTGGTTTCCTCCATGTTTTGGCTGATGACTGTAGTATTGTTGTTGCAGTTCCCATATATCGTGTGTGTGTGTGTGTGTGTGTGTGTGCACAAATGAATGTGTGTATACATCCATTCTGTATGTGAGTGCGGGTACACATGTAGAGGGTAAGACAACCTTAGTTGTTGGTCCTCACCTTGTCTGAGTCAGGTTCTCCCCTTGTTCACTGACATATATGCCAGGCCACCTGACCCTCAAGTTTCCAAGGGACCCTCTAGCTCCCATTTCACCGTACCTTGATACCTTGTCTGGCTTTTATATGGAAACCCTAATTCATGTCTTCATGCTTGCAGGAAGCGTTTTTGCCCTACAGAGCCATCTCTCCAGTCCCTAGAGTGGATTTTAATCATGGAAATTCACCGCAACAGTTATTGGGTGGAAGATGATGTTCTCAGTACTATTCTGGGATGGCGTCAAATGGTGTCACTCATGCTATCGCTGTGCTCAGTCCAGAGGAGGCTTTCACAGTTAGGAACATCTCCCGATTCTTAGTAGCAAAGCCAGTTCCTTAATGGATACAGCACCTAGGGAGGGTTTATATGCAGTAAGCACATAAGTGATCCATAAGTATTTCTAGATTAATTTAGATGTTGGTCATTAAATTGTTAAAGAGAGTGCCAACATCTCATATTTAGATTTCTCTGTAAGATTTTTAAGGGTAAAATGACTAGAAATCAATGGGGCATCTGGGAAGTCATAGCCAGTAAGTGTGTGGCTGGCCTCTGTGGGACCTCAGCTCCACTGGAAACTGCATTCCTGGACTGTGTCTTCCTGAAACAGTCAGAGAGTTTGGAGTGCTTTTCCTGCAGATCTCACAGGTTATCTCCAAATGGATGGGTATGGACTTGTCTATGCAGTCACTGCTTTCCGTCTTGCATTTCATGAATTCTTTTCTGAGAGGGTCAACGAGTGGCATTTCTTTTTTATTTTTTATTTTAATTTTAAATAGCTTGTTTTACGTGTCAATCCAGTTCCCTCTCCCTCCCCTCCTCCCGCACCCCGCATCCCCCCCCCCCCCCGCCTCCCACCCTATTGCCAATTCCTTCCACATAGGGGATATCTAGAGTCTGTCATTTCACTCAGGGTAGGGTCCGGATCAGTCCCATGCTGGCCTCCCCACTGTCAGTCTGGGGTCCAAGAGCTCTCCCCTGTTCAGATCAGCTGTCTCTGCTGGTTTTGCCAGCCCATTCTTTGCCAATTTGCTCATCGCTCCTCTCTCTCTGTCACTGGGTTCCTTGGGTTCAGTTCAGTGCTTAACTGTGGGTGTTTGCTTCTGCTTCCATCAGTTACTGGATGAAGGCTCCTGGATGGTTATAGGCATCAAGTTCATTATCAGGAATGGGCATTAGAGGTGGTCTCTCCACTATTGCTTAGCTTGCCAGTTGGTGTCATCCCTTTAGATCACTAGAGGTCAACGAGTGGCATTTCTTGAGATCAAAAAGTGATTCTCAATGATAATTATGATAATTCCGAAAACATTCTGTTTGTACTTTTCTGGGCAAATTAAGGGGGGGAAAACAGCATTGAGCTGCCCTGTCTGGGAACTGACTACTATTCCCTGGAAGAGGTGTGATTCAGGCAAATTCACAAAAAGCATGAGGAAGAAGGAGAGAAGGATGAGGAGGCAAGGGGGTCAGAGAAGGTGACTTATGAGGGGAGAGGGAGGGATGGAGAGATGGAGGGAGGGAGGGAGGGAGGGAGGAAGGGAGAGAGGGAGAGAGGGAGGGAGGGAGGGAAGGAGGGAGGGAGGGAGGGAGGAGAAACTTTATCTGAACTATCCAAAATGCTTTGGTTGGTTAGTGGGAAGAATTCAACCTGAGCTTCAGGGTTGCAGGATCCCAAACTCGGGCCTTCTCTTTTAGGCACAGAAGGGAGGTTTTTATTCATTTACCCTTTCCCTAAACACTGTAGTCTGGGAATTTGAATGGACTCCTTAAGTTCCTATAGTGACCTTTCCCTATGATTCTTATCATTTAGAAAAGGCTCAGCACTGGGTACTTAGGGAAGTGCCTTGCTGTAGGGGTAAAAACAAAAAAGTTTCCATCATTTCTCTGAGGATTAACTGGACTGAAGTGGCAAGACAAACACATTGGAGAAAACAGTCACACGGTATAATTACCCACAAGTGATCCAGAAACTTCTTTGGCCTTTTTTTTCTGCAGAGAAGCATTGAAACAAACTTAAGAGGCTAAATGATGACCAGGCAAACAAGCCCAGGAGACAGCCATCAGAATTTGAGGGAGTCCAAGGAACAGACAGTGTTTTATTAGGAAATTCTGTCTGGCAATAGGGAAACTCTACAATCAACTGTACCCAGATAGACAGGGAGGCTTCGGGATGGAGAGGAGCACACTTGTGTTCCTTTTCGATCTTCTCCGTGCAGATGAGGAAATTGCAGGAAGAGCCTCTCCCCTGTGATAGGGAGAAGAACAAGGCTAGGCCTGCTCTTAAGGTATTTTCATTTCCTTTAGATCAAATTCTGCAGCATGTGGGGAACTGCTATATTCAGGGAGATGTCACTCTCTCTGAGCCCTAGCATTGTCAAACAACGCAGATCCTACCAGGAT